AATGTTTCATTCTTGCTTGGAATTCTTCAGAAGTACACAACGACGACCCTACCAGGGATCAGAATCAGAACCTTCAACTTACAAGGTGGTCATGTATACCATACACCTGATGGAATGGAATCTAATGACCCATCAATTCTGACTTTAGCCAGTTCGAGACATATAGGGTGATCGCGTCTCCAATGTCTTCAGTGAGTGCTTGTCCTTGCATCTAATGTGATGAACCCGACTGATCACAACTTCCCACTGGAACTTCAGGCAATAACATCCTGATTTCAGTCCGGCTACATTGCGAAATGGTAGAATTTAGAATTTATTGGCCATTCAATTCCGTCCCAGTAGCTAAATGGGGAATACGATTTCCTCTTGTAACCTGAAAGTCTTGGGTCATAGGCGAGTGCTGCTCAAAAGTCCTAAAGCGAGACAAAACAGTTGGCCAGAACTCCTTGGTTACTGGTAGTTCTCTAACTGAAGTAAGATTGTGATCAGTCTTGGAATCAACAAAATCCCTTCATGTACCACTTGAAAATTACTTATGCTGGTGCGTTGGTGGCACAGCAGTTAGGACGCTAACCGATCATGCACATGGTCCGGGGTTCGATCCCCGGCTACAGACGGACATGAGGCTAGCAGCAACCGCATCCTGTAAAAATAAACATCACTGCTACAGAAACTTCAAGCCACTAGCTTGAGGCCCTATGTTCCACTGGGAACGTGAAGGAAAAAAGTCCCTCTTATAAATTAGGATAGTGTTATTAGAAGACGGAGATTATCTGTAAAATCTGATATATTTGCGCTATATATTTCGAACAATCTGGTCACACATTCACTTGTCAGGTCGATATATGTATGTATGAAAACGTTAAATTAAACAAAGTGACCAAGAAAGGATTTAAGAATGATTAACACAACGTTTGGTAATCCAATCAAATAAGAATTACCAAGGTAGGTTAAGAGTTATAATGAACTGCTTTTGAATACACGGGAAAGGGGGGGGGAGCTCAAATTTATGAATTACTATAGCCTCGGCGTATTTCAGTCAGCGCCCTTGACAGTTTTTATAGATGACCTTAAAGGCTGAGTTAACATCATTCTTATGGTTCATCTCGATTAGGTGTTTAGCTACAGACAAAGTTGTCAGTCTGACACCTACATTTATTGGCTTGTCACAATTCATTTGTTTTTTCTAGCCACTATGGGATATGCTCTCCCACCCTCACATGCAAAGCGCGATTACTCCTCCCTATGTATGTGTGACCACACACACACACGGATATTGGTAAATTGTGTGGGATATGATATAATCACTTGTGCACTTTTGAGGTTTGCAGTGAAGCATATTTTTAGCTTTTTCAACAATTGCAAGTTGGACTGCATAGTAGGTTCTACGGATGATCGAATTCAACCTTTGGCTCAAAATCCTACTGTTTATTTCCGCGTTATATAGTAATTTGTTGAAAACATTTTTCTTAGGGGCGGTATGGATTGTAGGTTTAGAGACTTATCGACTTCTACACCTATTTAAACATTTTAAAGGATATCTGTTTCTACTAACTTCGCCTATAGCTAAACACCTAATCGAGATGAACCATAAGACTGGCGTTAACTCAGCCTTTAAGGTCATCTATAAAAACGGCCAATGGCGCTTATTGAAATACCCCAAGGCTATAACTATTCATAAACTTAAGCCCCCCCCCCCCTGTGTATTCAAAAACAGTTTATTATTACTTTTAACCTATATTGGAAATCCTTACTTGATTGTATTACCAAACGTTGTGTTAATCATTCTTAAATCCTTTCTTTGTCACTTTGTTTAATTTAACGTTTTCATACATACATATATCGACTTGACAAGTAAATGTGTGAGGGATCAGATTGTTTGAAATGTATAGTGCAAATACATCAGATTTTACAGATAATCTCCGTCTTCTAATAACGCTATACAAATGTTTATACTAATTTGGAAAACAAACAAAATACCTAAAAAGAGGTGGAATCTATTAGACGGAAAAATCTAATATTATCCATGAATATACATAGACTTTTATATGCAATTCAGAGATAATATAAAGAAAAGTAGGCAAGTTCATGTTATTTAGAACTTTCCAACTTTGGTGTTTGAAAAGATGGCTGCCAAGTTCGAGTCTCAATGGAAATGTGGTCGCATCCAGGCTGTAAGTCTCGAATAGGAGTGTGAGTGAGACTACCATTCAAGATTTTAATATTTCTGCTAGGTCGTTGAAGATGTTGATCACCAGGAAGCCCCGAACTTTTCGCAAGTTTCGCGCTTGTTTGACACCTGTCAGCAATTCTTATCTGTAGCTTCAAATGACTAGATACCTTTCCGAAGCTTCGAACTCATGTCATTTAATGATTTAGTCTGAAGTGATGTAACTGAGTTATTCGGGGCTACGAATGACTTACTGTGGAATTCTAATCGATTCAGTGATTGCTTACCCAAGTGCAACTAGTGCCATAAGTCTGGTTCTTAGTAGTAATGTGGAAAAACTAGACAGTGAACTAATGCTTTTTGAAAAATGATTGAAAGAAAATGGTTACCCACAAAGTTTCATAAATGAATATGGCAAGAATGAACTCAAGAAGCTTGATACAGCTACAGTGAGTAAGAAGCCTATTTTCGTCAAACTCGACTACAAAGGTTACAACATTATGAGAATGGTAAATAAAAGACTAAGCGCAGCCCTGTCTAGGACGTATCCTGCAGCATTATTAATCTCTCTATCCCGAACAACCTTCTCACTGGTGCAGTCAAAGATTGACAAGTACCCCTCACATGTTACCTCCAACTGTGTATACCAATTCACATGTATCTGCGGAAGCAGTTCCATTGGAAGAACAGAGACGAGGGCCTACGTCAGATTCTGTGAACATGTATCAAGGAGCCACCGGTTAAAGGGACCGAATTGTTTAAGCTCTTCAATCGCCGCCAAACACCTGAATGACACAGGACACCGAGTAGATGTGCTGGAATCATTCAAAATAATTAACAAACAAAGTATTTTAAGTCTTCTCAGGTTCTCTGAAGCTATAGTAATAAAACGATCGAAGCCTGACTTATGTGTCCAAAAAGAATCCGTTGTTGAAATTCAATTCTGTCTGTCTCTGTCTGTCTGGATTCAACATAGAGCTTGGCACCGAAGTGCAGCAGTTCCAGTTGCCACGTTCCAAATAGCACACAGAGGTAGACAAGAAGATGAGTGAAGAGAATCAATAGAGTTTGACAAGTATAAGAGTGAAACAGAATGGGTAATGGTAGAAAGGAATATGAAAGATTACAGAGACTGAATACATCTGAGCTGGCCATTGACAACGATTTTGAGCCATGTCACCTATTGTCTCCAGCCATTGATTCCTAGAGTCCCGAGGGCCCCAACCCAGAAGTCTGCATCTCCCTACCTGACTCAGTTTAACTGTCAAGGATTTCATGGATTGATGAGGCCATGTTTTTGTTTGGCCACCACTTACTCTTTTCCAACCTGCACCTATATCAGCTAGCAATGCCCGTCGGGGCGATGGTTAGGCATGCGCAGCACGTGACCTAGCCATCTCAGTCTATGTAACTTTATAGCCTCGTCGATTGATTTTCCCTCTTTGCCCAACACTCTACGCCTAACGTCAACATTACTTACCTTATTAAACCACCTAACGTGAGACAGAGATCGCAGACATCTATGATCGAAAGCAGTCAACCTTTTCATGTCTTCAACTCGTATTGGCCATGTTTCAGAGCCATAGAGAAGGACGGAGCGAACTGATGAGCAGTACACACGTCCCTTGGTTGATAACCGGATGTCACGCCTACGCCAGAGATGGTGTAAGTCAGCGAAAGCAGCTCGAGCTTTTCGGATCCGTGCTGAGATTTCATCGCCAATCAGTCCGTTGGTGCTAATACAACTTCCCAAATAGGTGAAGTGGTCAACATGTTCTATCACTTCACTCCCTATCACTAAGCTAGGAGTTGACGTAGTCCAGTCCTGTAGCAGCATCTTACATTTTGCGGGGGCGAATCGCATGCCAAACATACGAAGATTGCTGCTCAAGGTGTTCAGAAGACTCTGCATTTTGTCAGCATCCTCCCCTAACAGGACTATGTCATCTGCATATTCTAAGTCCATAAGACTACTCCCTGGTAACAAGTCGATTCCTAAGTCATTACGTTCAGTTAGGGATACTTCCATCAGCATATCTATGATGAAGTTAAACAGAAATGGGGAAAGTGGACATCCCTGTCGGACACTACTGGTTGTTACCAATTCAGATGACAATTCCCCATAAACCCTTACACGACTACGTGAGTTTGAATAGAGTGCATTGATTAGTGCAATGTACTTTCTTGGCACTCCCTTCAATTACTCTGGTGACTCACTTCTTGATAACTCTTTGTTTTCGAATTTTGTTAATTTTGTTAACTTATCTTTTCACTGCCCCCCCCACTTTATTTTTCGCTTGACTCTCTTAGGGGATAATTTTTCTTGATCTTCTGAGTGCTGCTCACAGCATCACCTTCTCATCTGACCTCATGTGCACTAAAATTGTAAAATTTTGATGTTCTCTTATCTAATTACGTAACTATTGCTAATTTTCTTTTGTTACCACCCCAACAACACAACTGTTAGTAAAATTGTTTTCAAGTAACTTTTCTCTACCAAGATATATGTATGTATGTCGTAACACTTTAGACACCCTATAAATCTCAACGCCCTATTTTACTATGACACTCTGACAGTATGCTTGTTAATGGACAAAGGTTTGTTAAAATTCTACACAGCTTATGAGAACCAACGAAACAAAATGGATCCAGATTATTCTGCACCAATGAAACTTCTTCTTTCTTTGTTCAAATTTATAAAAGGGAATTTATTGATTGAAATGTGGACTGAGTTCAACCAGTCAAGTATCTAATATGTAGTCACCAATTTAGGTGACCACATTTCAATTTGTATACAATTTCTTGGTGGATATTTATGATTTTGACTTACTTGTGAATATTGAGTTCATTAAATGTACTGCTGGATCTTTAAATCGACTCCAAAATGTCAATGAATCTACAAGAAAAGTGGGAAGGTTAAAAGCATGTTAACTTGAAAAAAAGAACTTCTATACATTTTAAAGAAAAAATGATACTGTCTAAAAAATAATAGTGTTTCCATCAAGTTAAGATAAGTAGTCTAAACCAAATATCGTCATCTAGACTGCCTGATTCAATCGAGAGTAGATAGGTACCAAGAAGATACAGAACAGTATCGAACACATAAATGTCCTTTCGTATCACAAGTGTCACCAGTACGCGACCAAAATTGTATTGCCTTCTAACTCCTGGCAAAAAAAATCTGTGTAGTGAAATTGTGGTGAGAGCAGGCTGCTAGCCAAAGTTGGTAGACATTAATTTACGTCAATGTTTATGTTCCCAAATATTGGTCGTGAGAAAATATGAACAAAGACTGATTCAACAACCAATCACAGCACACTCTGCGTAGGCGGATATAGTTAACATATAGATGATTTGACATTCAAGAAACAGTCACAAAGAAATGCAAGGTCAACTGTCTGTGAGAAACAACCAATCAGAAGACTGTGTTTGTTTGCTTGAATAAGCTATAATAATGTACATGAAAATATATAAATACGTGTTGATTTCCTTAATAAGAGATTTGTTGCTAGACCCTTGTCTTCTGTTGTTACAAAACCACACCCTCCAATGTTATCTCAGTTATCCAGAGCGAACCAACCACCAAACCAGGATATCAGCTATAGTACTCCTAGGTGGGAGTAGATGGAGGGTGTTCGAACCTTAGACCCATTGGGTGAAAGCTGAGTCCTTAAGTCACGTTGAGCTACATCTTCGCATTCAATATTATCAGTGAATAAATGTCCTTATATCCAGTCTGATAGAACCCACTTGTAATTGTTTTAAGCAGTCTTTAAAAGTTTTCACGTGCAGGGAATATAATTGGTTTCAAATCAAAGTGGGATTGTTTTACTAGTCTCTTCCGAAAAGTTCTAAACTAGGGTAAAACATCTATCTGGTGCAACTCGGTTTTAAGTAATCCTTTATTTGAAGAAGTTTACTACCTCGTGCGCTATTTGGGTGACACCTAATTTGGTGACACCTGAGGCTGAAATGAAAACCAGCTTCTTGGCAGGACTCAAATTACCAGTCTCTAAATCACTGTTTTAGACGTTCGAATTCTGCAGGAATCCAAAATTTCATTTCACTGTCTCAGGTAGTCATACTATCAAATAGGTTTAGTTTATATATACAAACTGTTAATGAATCCCATCAAAAGACATAAGTTCGACTCATCTTTTGAAACAACTACTTACAAAGATTTGACATAAATAAATATTTTCAAGGAATTTATTCCGGCTGTTGATAAGTTGTTGTTGATAAGTTTGTGTACCTGGGTAGTTGTGTGAGTGTCGGTGGAGGGGTGACGGATGAGATTTCCAACCGTATAATGAAGGCTAGCGTGGCATACATTGACTTGAGCCACCTTTGGCGCCGTCGCGATGTTAGCCTGGCTGTCAAAGGTTGGGTATACAATGCTTCTGTGCGGGCTGCGCTGCTCTACGCCTGTGAAACCTGGCCTCTCCGAGCTGAGGATGTGCGGTGACTCTGTGTGTTCGATCATCGCTGTCTTCGCAGGATTGCTTGCGTTTGATGGCATCATCGCGTGAGTAATTCTGAGGTTCGGCGACGTGTGTTTGAACACAACGGAGATCACCATTCATTGAGTGTCGTCATCTGGAAACACCGACTCCGGTGGCTTGGACATATGCTGCGAATGTCATCCCAGAGGCTTCCGTACAGGTCTCTGTTTGCTAGCCAACCCTGGGGCGGGATGGAAAAGGCGGAGAGGTGGTCAGTCTATGACGTGGCCCTCTTGGGATGAAGGATTTCTGTGCTAGATTAGCGTCGGTTGGTGTGTCACGACTCCGTGGTTGGGGTCCGCGAGATAGCCCGAATCGATGGCTCGAAACGTTATCGGATATGGCAAAGAATCGTAATCAATGGCGAACGTGTTGCAATTTTCTTCTTTCTTCCCTTCCCGATGATAGTTAACGAATACTGTTTGAAATTGTTAAGCATGATTGTTTTCCTTCCAGATGAAGTTCTTTATCCGTTCTCTACTTATATTTCTTTTTTTCTTTTGATCTATGTTGTTTTATTATTACTGTGTGGCGCATCGTTCTTGGTGCCATATTGTACCAAGTATTTTATGCGTTTAAATAAAATAAATAAATAAAAAGGAATTTACATAACGTTATAACATGAAGATGCGTCGGTGGCACAGCAGTTAGGACGCTCACCGATCATGCACATGGTCCAGGGTTCAATCCCCGGCCACAGGCAGACTCCTGCTTTACCTCGATAAGCCAGGAATAAAAGCTGGTGAAGAGGAAGGGTTGGACATGAGGCCAGCAGCAACCGCATCCTGTAAAAATAAACACCACTGCTACAGAAGCCTCAAGCCTCTAGCTTGAAGGCGTCCTATGTTCCAGCACTGGGAACGTGAAGGAATGAAAAAAAACAAATAACATGAAGATATAATAAGACTTTGTTAACCTTGTCCCCTTTTTTCGCCTACCTGATTGTTCATCCGGTGAACGACGACTTCTGTCGAGAACATTTTTCATACCAGTCTCCTCGGGGATAACTTCACGCCAACCAACTGGAATACAATCAAAGTTATTTCGATATTCTTCTTCAGTGGCTGCTTCTATATCAACACCACGAAATGGTCCATCTTGTTCATAAGGTAAACGATGTCCAGGCTGACAAACGCACTGATAACCGCCTCTTTTGAAACCGAAACCAGGAAGAGGTACACACTAATTAGAGATAGTTTTGTTGTAAAAGAAAAAAAAAGCAAAGCAAGACATATGCAAACTTATAAATTGTGGGAAACAAATGACTGTCAGTAATATATATACAGATAGATAGTATACCTTACATCATAAGTTTAAATAAAACATTTGCAATAAGAATTTTAATTTTAAGTATTGGTTTGTAGGGATTTGGTTGACTGGTTACAGGATTTCATCATGAGCTGACATTGGTTAGAGAACCATTGGAAAACCCATCAGGGAGTACTGGACAGCTGTTTCGTCAGCCTAGTTTGGGACTCTTCAGCAATACGCACACACCACAGGGGTTCGAACCCGGGACCTTCTAGTCACAAGGTGAGCTAGCTCGTAGACCATTAAGCCAGCCAATGGGACCTGATCCAATGGCCTGCCTATGGATTCTGACTTCTGTCAATTCACGATATAGCATAACTGCTAGCCAATGTCATCTGTGGCGAGTATTTGTCCTCATACCCGACTTACTGCACCCTACTGGTCACGACTTCTCACTGGAACCCCAGGTAACTACCTACCTGAATAGGGCCAGTCGCCCATTTTAATTTTAACTGAGCGGGTACATGTGGCTTGAATACTCAAGTCTCAGTTAACGCGTCCTGGATTCGAGTCGTGCTCCATGTAGTTCACTATGAGTTGACAACTGAGCATTATCACGAACCCTAGAATAATAAGTGAGTTCTAACAAACTGGCCGACCAACGATAATGACTGAGTGTTAATTAACAAATAGTTGTTAATTTTAACTTAGTGAACAGCCTTTGTGATTAACATCATTTCCTTGAGGAGGTTACAATTCTGTTTGTTTGTTACTATATAGCTGCCGAAAAAAATAAACTTCCATCCCTTTCTGTTTGCAAGCATTTTAAACTGGTCGATAGTCAAACGGAAATGAAACCTATTAGGAGTTCCCCACCTACCATAAATATCGAAAATGAGAGGAGTCAATCTATCCAGTGTTAAGGTTGACTGTTTGGAAAACCGACTTTTGATTCCAGGAATCACTTTCGCTAAACCCCATTCCAAAAGCGTGTATGTGACCTGTTTCATGCGAAGGCATAACATTTTTTGGTCCGCAATCTTCAACGTATAAGTCAGTTGAGAAGAGTCCCAATATATGTGAAAGTCGACAGTTGGATAACATCAACAATTTGAAGGGAGCGTAAAAAGAATGCCTGACACGAGGTGTTCACTTTCTGGTAAACATTTTAAGGGCTGAGATACAGACTCACTTAGAGTTTAGTGAATGACTGACAATATCCTAAAACAGTTGCTTTTGAAGTACTGGGGTCTGGCTTGTAAACTAGTATAAAACGCAGAAAATATTCATTCAAGATGAGATTTAAGCGATAATCTAAGCATAGTTTGATTATAAAATAAATCTACCTCCTTCCATCTCAGAAAACCGCACGACAACTCCAAATCATAGAAATTCTTGCAAAGGATATTATCATTATTATTTACTTAGGCTTTCGAGTGGAACATAGGGATTCAAGAGCAGGTCTCCGTTTTTTCCTGTTTTCTACATCTGGCCCCATGACTGCCTATAATCTCCCATCTCTTCACACGACTTCTTCCATTTCACACTCAAACCAACACCCAACATTCAGGCTCCACTTGAGGTTGTGTGATGTCACCAAATGGCCTCCTCAGCGTGTGCCCAACCCATTTCTATTTCCTTCTACATATTTTCTGAGCAACAGGTTGTTAATTTGTTGGGTCGTTCCCGGAGTTCCTCGTCGCTGATTCTTTGTGGATTGCCATATGACCTTCAGTATGGAGCGGTAGAAGGCAGCTGTTGGCAAAAGTCTTTTCGTGACTCTTCCACCAAGTTTTCGACCCATGTTTATCTTTTAAAAATTCGAATCTTGTTCTTTATGCCATAGAGTGCAGAAGATGAAGGCATATCTTGCCTTCACAATTCTGTCTGTCTTTGACGTCTTCATCCATTCAGCCCACCCATGGTTGAAACCGTGTTTCCTGGCCATATAAGTGAGGGAAGTGACCTACTTCAAATTTCTCCCGTTGATAATGATTGGTGTTGTTTTTTGTCGCTGTTTGGTGGTCATTTTATTCATCTCCGTCTTCTCTATGTTCTCCTAAAGTCCTGTCTTGACCGCTTCTTCTACCAGTTTGTCACCAGTTTTCGCCTGCCTGCCTGCCTGTAAGTCTTCGAGTTTGTGTGACATTAAACACCAATCATCTGCGAAATCCACATCTTCCAGAGTCTTCTTATCGGTAAGTGTAGCGTGTTCCCGTTTTCTCACTCCCTGTCCACAGTCTGACATATAATCCAGTCCATCACAATTAGAAATATCATCATCGGTGATAATAGGCAGGAAGGCAGCCTTGCCTTACTCCTGTATTCACTGAAAAGGCTTCACTGAATTTTGTTTTGTGGATCACCTGACACGTGCCGTTGTCATATAGCCGCCAGCTGGTCAATGAGGTTGGTAAATATTTGGGTATCGCACTCCTTAGTGTTGAAATAGTTTCCAAATTTCTTCTTATCGGGGTCAAATCTGTTCGATGAAGGCTTTTTTGAAGTCTATGAAAAGTTGAGGTAGAGGTTTGACTGGCATTCTGTGCTCTTTTCAATGATTATGCGTAGAGTTGCAATCTGATTCATACATCATTTGCTCCTCCTGAATCCATCTCATCCCAGCTGGCGGAGTTCTGCATCCAATACACCTTTTGATCTTCAACGAGTTTTACTTTCATGCTTTTGTAAATAAGAACAACGAATTTAAGCGTATAAATATGTTCTCAGTGTTTTAATCTTTCTTAAATTCTCCTCAGCCCTTTGCAACCTAATTAAATTCACCTTGTCAACTTGAAGTCATTTACAAGAAGTCATAGGTAAAAACGATAGCAAGTAGTTAGAAAACTATCAGACTTGGTTAAAAATCAAACAAATGACAATCATGTTGTATCTTCACTAGATTCGCATTGATTATCAATGTAGTGGTAATGACTTCTTTTTCCATTTGTTTGATCAAACTCCTTGTCTCGTTATTTGTTTATACAGTAATTCCCTCATTTTATATCGTCGTTATCAGTCACTTTGTGTCATAAACTTCTTAATCCTATTATTACACTTGTGAAGCATTACTGTGTACACCTACCTTCTTTATAGTTCCATTCATGGATGATTATTCCTGCCATAATTAAATGGTAACACATGATACTCAGATCTTTACGTCGATCAATTAAACCAGACTGAGTTTATAAGCTGTAACCGCCTCAGATAGGTAAATAAATTCTATAAATAATTATATATTACTCATAAGTAGGTAAATTAACTTTAGGCAAATATTGGAAAGCCATATTCGACATAACATACCAAAGTTGTCGGTTTGCAACGTGCTATTCCAGCTAAAAAATGATTTGGATTTCCTAATCCCGGTGGACATGGATTAAAATCGATTCTATAGAAATCCATACTTTGCACAACTACACCAATCATTCTGATAAGAAGAAGGAGAGGAGTAGAGAAAAAAAGAAGCAATAGTTAAACACTTGAATATATTCAAAATGGATTTCTTCACAAAATGGTTTAACTGATACAACCAAAAGAGTACTACTAGACATCTTGGATTCCTTAGCAGTACATCTTTAACAAATCATAAGGTTTCATAGCGGGACACTTAGTTTTTATACTTGTTCCTCAACTTCTCAAAATCGTAAAATTTAACATTTCAATACAAACTGTGCTTCTCATATTCAATCACTTAAGTAGATTTAGCCCAGTTTAACTCAGCGTTTAAAAAATATCAAATTAATTCGGCCAACTAAACCTTTCACACAGAAGATAGCGACTGTTATTATGCATTCCTTGAGTTCCTTAGGGGGCGAAAAAGGACTCAGAGACATACCTTGATTCCACTAGGACTTCTGCAATTACATTCAACTGGCCCCACAATTGCTTAAAAGCTTTTATTTCTCCTTCACACAGATTTTTTCTATGTCACCCTAAGATGCCTAACTCATCGCTTAGCATTCGAGTTCCACTTGAGGGTCTGGCTGGAGTGTGATGTCACTTGAATATCTTCTCAGCGCGTATTTCCATTCCTTCTGCATGTTTGTTGGGAAATAGATTGTTGGCTAGTTGGCTGCCAAACAGTGAAGTGGTAGGTCATTATTATCATCATTGTCTCCTTTAATTCCTAGACGAACATAGGGCTTCAGACCCACGTCTCCATTGCATTTGGTTCTATGCTAACGTTTTCACCTGGCTCAACTTCTGCCCACTTCCTTTCATCTCCTCTTCGCATCACCTCCTCCATATCATCCTCGCACTGACAACCAACCAACTCGCCGCATCCCATTCGGGGTTCCAGTCGAGCGATGGTCTGGTGTGTGATGTCCCTTGATGTTTTTCTCAGAGTATGGCTAGTCCAATCTAATTCTATTTCTTCCTGCCTATTTGTAGCACAACCGGTTCCTGGGTGGTTCGTTCGTTCCAAGAGATCCCTGTTGCTGATCTTTTCTGATCGGCAATTTGATCTTGAGTAGTATTGAGCGAAGACAGATGTTGATGAAGCTTTTTAGTGTGAACGACACGCTAAGTCTCTGATCCATAAAGTAGCACTGACTTCACATCGGAGTTGAAAATCCGGATCTTATTTTCATTTTCATGCTGAGTGCTGTTGATCCCCACACAGACTTGAGAGTAATGAAAGCTTGTCTTGATTTCTCCATCCTCACTTTGATATCCTCGTCAGTTCGCTTGTAGTTGAAACTATGCTTCTCAGTTAGGGTAGGTAAGGGAGGTTTCTTCCTTTAGATTTCCCCCATTTATGCTGATTGTTGTCTGTTGTTGTTGCTGTTGGCCAGGAATCTTCATCACCTCTGTTTTCTCTATGTTCACCTGAAGCGGTAGATATAGAGAAAATTTTCAAGAAACTAGAAGGTCCTGGGTTCAAACTGTAGCAGTGGGTGCGTACAACTGAAGAGTCCCAAACTAGGCGGACGGAACAGCTGGCTTTCCAGTACTCCCAGGTGGTTTTCCAATGGTTCTCTAACTGTTTTCAACTCATGATGAAATCCTCCAACCAATCAAACTAGATGACAGTTGAGTCTTAATGTTTAATTCGTTGGACACTAATGAGTTAGATAATTCTAGTGACTACTGGTTACATAATCGTAATGACTAAATCATATTCTTAACTTCAGTCGTTGATCAATTTTCAACAAATAATCGTTCAAAAGTTACCAGAGTATAAACTTACTTACTTTACTTTACTTCGGCTATCTCCTACGGGAGGATGAGCCGGCTTCATGAACGTCTCGAATCATCGCTGCCCAGACGCGGCAATTTGTAAGAGAGTTCATGAAGTTTCATGGGAATTGGGTACGAGTGATGTCCCCAGCATCGCTCGGCCTTTTGTTTGAGAGTGCAGCTCTAGCCTTTACACAGCCAAGTGTGACCTACAAGGCAGTAGGAGTGGAGTAAGGAGTCCACTATCCATTGGCAGCCGGTGACCGGAGTTTGGTTCATACGCCTTTTTGAATGGGGCCAGACATCCAGGACATCCAACAAGCCCTTTGTCCATACGTCTGCCGGTGAGCTCCAGTGAGCTTCATACGCCAGTCGTTGGAGGTTTGGAATCAGGGTTTAGCCATCTCCCCTAGACTGTCATCCAATGGACAGTCAACCCGGTGGAGAGCGCCGGGTATCCGCTTTCGCCCTCTCACTTTGGTGAGAAACACCTCCGCCACGTGAAGGCAGTGAGTAGGACTTCCTCAGGAGAGTCTATGTAAGACGCCCGGTCATATGGGAGCATTTCAGGAGGTGTGCGGAGGGGTGGCCAACCCGCAGCGCAAGGCACCCACCCCCGACCATCCTGAGGCTTTGGAGGCCAGAATATAAAGGGTTGAAATGGAATCAATAGAGTTTAAAATGTCTATTTAGAGGGTCAGAATCACGGGTAAAAAATAAAAAAATAAAAGGGCGAGAAAAAGAATATTACGTGCAATAGACTTTAGTTTAAAAACTGGATTATCAACGCAGGTTTAAAGTAATGATAAGTGATTTTTGAATACATAAAACGGATTTAAGCGTTTCCATAGCTAAGGTTCATGTATACAGCAAAAATATGTTGATTTAAAAGCACTGCTGAAACCGATTATTGTATGACCCATATTCATGGTGTGCTTCTTCACAAAAGCTTCTGCACCCAGCATGATTTAGCTCTGGTAATTCTGTTTGTTCTTGCAGTGACTTAGGAATATGTCTTGTAGTTTCTGTAGAAGTGGTGATTATTTCTACAGGATAGGGTTGCTAGCCGCCTCATGCCTAACCTTTCCTCTTTACCAGTCTTACTGCTGGCTTAGAGAGGTAAAGCAGAAGTGCGTTTGTGGCCGGGGATCGAACCCCAGACCACATGCGTAGTCGGCGAGCACTGTACTGCTGTGCCACCGGCGCACTAAATTCCCAACATACCAATAATTATTACTCATACATATATAGTGACTAAAATATCAATCTGCTTACCTTGGACCTCTTAGTCGCGTGATATTTGAATAACGTGGCATAAAATCTGTCAACGCCGAAACAGAACTCACAATCCATCTGTTTGTCCCCCCACAATCATAATAAGGTCGAGTAAAACGTACAGGTAAAAATGTCTCCTTAACACCTGGTGCATTTGGTCCATAGAATTTAACATTTTCCAGCTCTTCAATAGGATCACCAGTGATTGTAGCAAGTTGAATTTTTGCAGTATATTGATTTTTACTCGGTGCTGTACCCCGTCTATCTGGAATAAAATCAATACCCATTTCACGGTCACGTATATATGGATTATTTTTATACCATGAAGCTGTATAATTACTATTTGGTCCTGCTCCAAGATCAGTGATCTGATTTTAAAGAAAAACAAATTGAAAATCAAAACAGAAGTTGAGTGAAAAATCCTAACAAATAAACACATTCAGTAACATTTTGAAATCTCTTCTAGCTGGAATGTTAGGACAGGAGGAGAAATATGATGAGTCATTTTGTTTCCCAAGTGATCTATAAACGAATTGAAATCAAAATTTTCAACTTGATATGTTAGTTAGGAGGTGTGAATATAAATTACAAGAGCCTTAGAACACACAAAATTGCACAGGATTAGAATATAATTGTAAAAATAGTTATTTTAAACGAATTATAAATGTGCTCTGTAGGAGCATGGAAACAAACTCAAAACAACTGTAAACAATTGGTGGATGGTGGCTAGCAGTGGAATCCAGGATAACGCGCATTTCGTCCTATTTGGGACTCGTCATCTGGATTGACCTGCATTTCTCAGTGAGTGATGATGTTCCCACTGAGGCTCGAACCCAGTGCCCATAGCTTCAAACGCCAAAGTGTTATCCACTAGACCACTTGGTCCACGAGAGCCACCTCTTGTGCGACGGGTCATATTAATTATTGAATTGAATTTTTGATTTTCCCGTCGATTGATTAGACCGAAGTGCTCGGTCTCAGGTTGACATGTCGGCTTCTTGTGCAGATGCTTCGACGATGTCTGGGCATTTAATTAGTATACAATTGGTGGATGGTGGCTAGCAGTGGAATCCAGGATGCGCATTTCGTCCTATTTGGGACTCGTCAGCTGGATGTACCTGCATTTCTCAGTGAGTGATGATGTTCCCACTGAGGCTCAAACCCAGTGCCCATAGTTTCAAACGCCAAAGCGTTATCCACTAGACCACTTGGGCCACGAGAGCCACCTCTTGTGCGACGGGTCATATTAATTATTGAATTGAATTTTTGATTTTCCCGTCGATTGATTGGACCGAAGTGCTCGTGGCCCAAGTGGTCTAGTGGATACCACTTTGGCGTTTGAAACTATGGGCACTGGGTTCGAGCCTCAGTGGGAACATCATCACTCACTGAGAAATGCAGGTACATCCAGCTGACGAGTCCCAAATAGGACGAAATGCGCATCCTGGATTCCACTGCTAGCCACCATCCACCAATTGTATACAAATCAAATCCCCAGACATCGTCGAAGCATCTGCACAAGAAGCCGACATGTCAACCTGAGACCGAGCACTTCGGTCCAATCAATCGACGGGAAAATCAAAAATTCAATTCAAAACAACTGTTTTTATAACTGAAAAAAATTAGGTGAATTTAATGAAGACTGAGGGAATAAGGATCAGACACATGGCGAACGAAAAAAGGACGAAGAAGAAAAAAAAACGGAAGCAAAGGGCACATACCAAACTAGGTCCATGGTAGTTGTAGAGGTTAGACTAATTTCTTTCGAACACACAGCTCCGGCTTCTCAATGCATATTGCGAGGGCTTCTGCAGTACAAAAAAGTCGGAAACATACTGCTTTTGGTAGGTTTCTGTTGACTTTGTAAATCACTTTGAAAGAATCAGTTGAGATGTTGTGAGAGGTGTTGACCAGATGTTCAATAATGGCACTTCTGATTGAACCGGTGCCTCCTCTTCGCAGCCACGCTGGGTAATGTTCTCTAAAACGTTTTGAAAGGACGTGCATACAACGACCTATGTACCTAGCTCCACACGAGCAAGTGAACTGATATATGCACATTGAATTGGTCATATGCGAGAGTTTGTCCTTTGTGTTGTTTCGAAGTATTGGACGGCTAGAGAATGTCACTCTTAGTGACACTTTTTTTCTTCTTCGTCCCTTTTTCGTTCTCTCTTTTTCCTTTTGAGCATTTTTTCGTTTCCCGTGTGCCTGATCCTTATTCCTTCAGTCTTCATCAAATTCACCTAATTTTTTCCAGTTATAAAAACAGTTATTCTAAGTTTGTTTCCATGCTCCTCGTGATCATATTTATAATTCGTTTAAAATAACTATTTTTACAATTATATCTTAATCCTGTGCAATTTTGTGTTTCTAAGGCTCTTGTAATTTATATTCACACCTCCTAACTAACATTTTAATTTCAATTTGTTTCCATGCTCATTTTTGTTCACATCTATACACAAGACATTCTATCCTAACCCAGATTAGGGATCACATCTCTCAGTCTTTTTATTTGGTACAGGTTATTCAGACTGAATATAATTTTCATATCTTAAACTTGTAATTCGTTGTTCACACAAAGTGAATATTATAACTAACCATCCTATCTGATATTATTGCCTTTTCCGTGGCAGCAAACCAGCCGAGAACCCATTTGCCCAACAAAATTGCGGGAGCAAATAGAAACAGAGAGGACATACACGTTGAGAAGACATTCAGTGGGACCAGAATAAGAAGCGATGAATTCATCGTCCGATAAAAATGTGGTTGTTATGTTGCTGCTGCTGAGTGGTTAGTAGTAGTTTTCCCCGTCGCCAAATTGTTATGTACTCGTCGCCAAATTATTGTTATGTACTGGTCGAGAATTTAATAGTCCTGACGCAAGAAGGCGGAAATCAGAAGACCACTAGGTTTGCGATGATACTTCTATTTTCCAAACACAAGGAGAATGCAAAGAGTGGTATCACACCAAAGTGTCACACAAGATTGTGAGAGCGAAATATATATGAATGTCCAGACAAGTGTGTGAACAAATCAATAGACAGTCTTAACATGAATGGCTAATTATAATGGAGTATCGATCCATATATACATAGCAAAATATAGCAGACATGTCAACAACCACACATATAATATGGATATATGTCACCGAGCAACGGACTGTCAACAAACACTCATACTGTATATAATATAAGGGGAATATACATTGTTAAAGGAGACAGGTTCATCAAAGTGAAATGGTCACAGACTAAGCGAGCAAACAGAAAGAGAGACCACCATACACACATATATGTATATATGGATACCTATCAGTGGTAAAGACCAGGTTTTATAGAAATGAAATCTTGTGCGCAGTCGTGGAGCAAGCTGAAAGTGATGATGGAAGATACGTGGAATAGAATTGTTCTACCGAACCCCTATGCTCCCCTTGGAATGCTAGAAACAAATAATAATAACTACCTTTTTCCTGGAGCAACAAATCTCTAACTTCTCTCAGCGAGTCTTCTATGTCTCCTCAGTATCGGTGCGTCGGTGGCACACCGGTAGAATGCTCGCCAACCATGACTCATGTGGTCTAGAGTTCGATCCCCTGCCACAAAGGGACTCCTACTTTACCTCGCTAAACCAGTAATACGATTGGTGAAGAAGGAAAGTTGGGCATGAGGCTAGCAGCAACCCCATTCTGTAAGCATAAACACCCCTGCTACTGAAACTTAAAGCCCTATTTTCCAGAGGGAACGTTAAGGAATAAAAATAAAGTCGACTGATCAGTCGCATACTGTCGAGCGTTGAACTGTCAGATTAGATAAAACCTAAATCTAGTATCACCTCAGTCACAATATGGACCGCTTAAATTACACTAGGGAAAAAATCAATCAAGGACCGATTGCCTAAAAAATAAGCCAAAAGAAGTAGAAATCGTCAAATCTAATCACGCGCCTGACTGTCTAAAGGAACACAGATGGGGGACGACGAGCTGGGTATGGATCCAAGGGTGATACTGATGAAACTGTGTCCGATGGAGATGTATCTGTCTCTCTTGTTTTCGACATAGAACTTTGAACCGATGTGCAGAAGTTCAAGTCGCCACACTTCCTCCATGTAGTACACAAAGCAAGAGAAGAAAGTAGAAGAAATGCATAATAGAAAAAGTAGACAAGGATATGAGACAAAAGGAATAGCGATTATGAAAAACAATATAGTTTCATTGGCAATTATAAGTCACAGTCAATGGATGTATCTGTGTCAGTGAGAACGTTCACTTTGAGCCATATCACCGATTGTCTCCAGCTTTGGTTGGTTTTTACCTTCCCGAGGACTCTAACCAGGAAGTCTACATCTTTCTAGGTGGCTGGCTTAAACTAACTGTTGTGGATTTCATTGACTGTTGAGGCCATGTTTCGGTTTGACCGCCGGCTGTAAACAAAGGAGATGACTAGCCATACGTAACACATATTCTAACCATTTCAGTCGATACAACTTCACAGCCTTGTCGATTGATTTCCCCTCCCACCTACCTAGCACTCGAACGGTGTCTAACCTCAGATAGAGATGTGAGCTTATCGGAAAGCAAACAGCCAGGCAGAAATGACTTCAGAGAACAAGATGACACGAAGATATGCTTTTGAAGCCCTACATTTCACTCAAAGATTCCTTACTCTCAATTAAAACCACAATTAAACAACCACTTACTTCAATTGTATTATTAGTTGGTATTCTTAAAAAGTTCATTTCATCATTCCAATTATCTAATCGTCTTGCTAATGGTCCAAATAACGGTAATGTTCTATTAATATCTTTTAATTCATACCAATTAGCATAAGTTGTATTTGTATCCATAAATACACCCGAGGCATTCATAACATTTGGTCCTGAAGAAACATCAGCTGCTGCTGACATATAATAATACATTAACGATGGTAAATGTTGTGGATCCCTTGTTGGATGATCTAACCGTTGTAAGATATAACTATAAAAAAATGCACGATTCAAGGCTAAATTATGTAAATGTAATAATTTCGAACGATTTGTAAACCATTGTCTTAACGGGATCTCATTATATTGTGGTAATTGACTTAATGATGTTGGCGGTAGACGTAGGTCGGCTTCTGACATTGTTTCACAATTATTTGGATTAGCTTGATCCATTTTACGTGATATAATATCAAAATTATCTTGTTTAAACCAACGAAATGGACTTTTACTGTCATCATCATCACTATCTTGCGCTGTAATGCCTAAATACTGTCGTCCAATGGATAAGAAATATAACATCAAAGATGTGATGAATACACAGTGAAAATTTAACATTCTGAAACCAGAAAATTCTTCTCTTTCCCTTTTAAGAAACCTATAAAGAAAACAAAAAGAGAACCAGAGAGGATCAATGATAGGTGATTAAAGTGGAATAGGTAGGAAGTTCTGAGTATCTGAAATTTTGAAAGAACTAATGTTAATAAAAAAAATCAAAACACGTCGTTCCATGAAGAGTCACTTTCCGGTGGCGAATTCATTCACTTAACTGCACAACCCCCGGCCGACAACTGCTACTACCTTGCCGTGGTGGTCGGGCTTGAATACCCGCAGTGACCCAACAAGCTAAACTGGCTGAAACTCATATCCCTGCAGGTCCTACCATGTCAGGAAGGTTGTTTGGATAGCGGTTAGACTAAAAGCAGTTACCATAGGGTACATGGGCTCCAGAATCCAATGGGATCAAATGGCGTATGAACACATATGGGTTACCGGCAACCATGGGAATGCAGCTCTTGACGCTGCTCCTTAGCTTTGCGGATTAGACTCCAAGTCAAAGGCTCGGGGGTGGTCCCTTAAGAAAACCACCTGCATCGATCTGGGCACCCGAGCAGTATCTCAGCCCTCACACAACAAATGAAATTTTGTGTGGCGCATCTTTCTTGGTGCCATATTGTACCAAGTTTTTTCTGCGTTCAAATAAGTAAATAAATAACTACACAATCGCAATCACGTATATACTTATTTTTGTATGCGTGTGTGTGTGTACATTAGCTGTGTCAGAAAAGAGACTAGTTAGGCTTGTTGTTTAAGTCATTGAAATATTTCAAAAAACTGTGATGAATAATCAAATTGTAACTAGGTGGGGGGGAGGGGAATGAAGATTAGTATGTTAAAGTATGTAGTTTGCAACAACGAAAGTCATGCCTCCAACCTACTCAGATTATTATTCAACAAATGCACATATAAATATTGTATTTACTATGGAACATGAAAAGTTCCACTTCCTCGACATTGCCATGCAACGCCTAGAAGATGGTAGTCTCCAGAGGTCAATTTCCCCGAAGGCCCTCATGGAATGGACAATACTTACATTTTAATAGTTTTTGTCCAAATAACAAGCTACAAACGAGCACTAGTCAAGACTCTGTACTATAGAGAGAGGAGAATATGCTCTGCAAAGAAACTAGAGGAAGACATTACGATTCTCAAAAAGGTGCTGAAAAACAACAGTTATCCCGTCAAAGATTCATTAACAAATATGGAAGATGTGAAGGCTCAAATACCAAACAAATCATAGTTGAAAAAAGTCTGTCTTCATTCAACTAGATTTTAAAGGTGAAGACATTGAAGCAATGGTCAACAGAACAGACTGAGAACGTCGCCAGCCAGAGCCTATCCTGCAGCTAAGTTGGTTCTCGTCCATCGAACAACATGCTCTTTGGTGCAGTCAAAAGTCGATAGATACCCTTTTCATGTTAACTCCAACTGTATATACAAATTTACGTGTATCTGCGGGAGCAGTTACATTGGGAGAACAGAAAGAAGGGCACACCTCCGATTTTCTGAACATGTGCTGAAAAGCCTACGTCTCAAGGGAACAAATTCTTATAGTAGTACCAGACATCTTGACACGGGTCATGAGGTGGAAATTGAGAAGTCCTTCAAAATTATCAATAGACAAAGGAGCTCCATTCTCCTCAAGTAATAATAATAATCATAACAGCTTTATTCCAAACAGTATTTGTAGTATATGTATGGAATTTTCAGCGTGCATTACAATATATTGCATCTAATTACCTCATAAATTTTATAGGATTTTAAAATCAAAAAGTAACACCCAAAAACGAAGATAAATAAAAAGAACAGCGTTACGTTTACATTTTAAACAATGCACCACAGGATATGAAATATAAAATCAGTGTGTAATAGGCGTTGAGAACAACAGTGTAATAGTAACGAGGAAAGGAAAAGAAAAACTAATGGGACTATTTGTTAGAGTGCCTCAGTAAGTTTGTCGTGTCATACCTAACGGATTTCTCATCACATAACAGCTGTGCCAGATATGGTAGGTATTGTGGAGTTTTTGTATTTGGTGGTCCTAGCATATAGCCGCCTACAGCTGTTTCTAGTTCTACCAGATGAGATGTAAGGAGAGAGCTGCGTATAGAGAGGATTCTCGGGGTCTGACAATATTGTATTCGCTAGTTTCTTACATGGTATAATATGTCTATCCACAATAGTGTTAACCAGTTGGTTTAACGATATCCCACTTGCCCTACTAACGGCTTTTAGTGCCCTTCTCAGCAAAGCAAAGTCTTTCTTAAGTAGTCCAGGAAAGATTAATGGGGAGCAGTAAAGGGGAATGGGTAGAATACAAGAATTGATAAATTGAGAAAGTTCTTAGCATAGAACGTTAGGCGAAACATCTTTCTAGTAACTAGCAAGATGTGAGAGGACCAGGAAAGATCGGTGGAAAAATTTCGCCCAAGGTACTTGACATTAGATGTATTTTCAACCTCTATGTCGTCAATGATAGTGGGGCAATGTGAGCTAGCTAGTTGTTGTAGGTCACGTTTACGTCTGAAAGTGAAATTGACTACCTGACATTTAGACGGATTCAGCTTAAGACCGTTTGAGGAGGACCACTGACTAATTTCCGACAGAAAGTTATTTAATTTGGAACAATCTGACTGAGAGTTGACAGGCATAGAAACAGAAAGGTCATCAGTATACTTAACGAAAGTGGCTACATCAGAATGAGGCAAGTCATCTAAGAAAAATGAAAACAGAAAAGGAGAAAGAACAGCACCTTGAGGAACACCAGCTAAAGTAAGTGAGGTAGTGGAGGACTTTCCATTGTAGACGGTGTACTGCTTCCTATCAGAAAAATAGGAATGCAACTACTTATTTGTCCAGCTCTCAGCCTGTGTTGCAGAAAGCTTACCTAGCAAGAGAGACCTGGGAACAGAGTCAAATGCAGATGTGTAGTCAAGGAAGGCACAGCGAGCGTATTTAGCTCCTTTATCTAAACTAGAAACTATACTACGATGTAGGACAACAGCGGCATCTAACGTACACCTACTATGTTTATAAGCAAACTGGTTGGGGTCACTGAAAGGCTTTAAAGAGGGTTCAAGATTAAGTGAAATAAGTCTTTCCATAACTTTCAAAAAAGGTGAGGTAATAGCAATGGGTCTAAACTTAACAGTAGGTCCACTTGTTGATTTAGGGACTGGAACGATCTTGATGTTTTTCCATGATTCAGGTATAATACTTTTGGAAAAAGATTCATTGAAAGACCAATGCAGCTGGCTCCACAACAACAGTTGAACTGATAAATGCACATAGAAGTGGTCTGATGCGAGATCTTGCCCTTAAGGCTTCTGCGTACTAACGGACCACTGGACAACACTACTCTCAGTGTTGCTGCGAAGAGTTTTCTTCTCAAAGATGGTGAAATTTCTCTTTTTAGGATATCGCAGGCTAAGCTTCCCTTGAAATCCAGATTCGTGTAAAGTTTCGTTCTTAGAAAAAGTAATGTTTCGTTCCTCTGGACAATTTGGTTTGATGTTCTTGTCTATGAATCTTGGTGGATATCCATTTAGGAAATAATGCTCCTTCTGAAATTCAAATCGGCACCAACCAGTGCTGCAGTTAGAGATGTTACCTCAAAGCCGTTTATTCATACCTCCTACAGGACTATAGTGGGTATAGTGATTGATCACTAACACCTTACTAATGTTATACACCTAGTAAAGCATATGAAAGACAAATAGATAATAGTCCAAATGTTTTGGACTGAAGGCGTATGGTTTCATTATAATAGTTACAAAAAGGCGGTGGGTAGGATGAAGTTTCACTAGACAAGATGCTTACGAATAACTACAGTGCTTGAAATATCCTCAGCTAAGTATTTCTGGAGAAGTCATCTGACCGTAGTGAAGCCCCTCATTTGAATACTCTACATACAATGTTATATATACTATGAGAAATACAAAAGAAGATATCAGACTTACACATAAAGCACAAAGAATCAGTTATAGAAAAAACAGAAGACGAAAATGATTTAAAGGATGGAAGGCATTTGAGAGGTTGAAAACTAAGATGATAACAGCTAACAGAGTGCGTCGGTGGCACGGCGGTAGAATGCTCGCCATCCATTCCTCACGTGGTCCGGGGTTCAATCCCCAGCCGATGCACTCCTGCTTTACCTCGCTAAGCCAGTAATAAGACTGTTAAAGAGGGAAGGTTGGGCATGAGGCTAGCAGTAACCCGATTCCGTAAAAATAAACACCACTGCTACTGAAACTTAAAGCCTCTAGCCTAAAATAACAATTATTGCGGAGCTTAAATGATTTTTACAATTATGAAGAGTAAAACAAACAAGGTGACTATAAATATAGTAGGAATAATAACAGTGAAACTTGATGACATAAGGATGGAGGAAATTGTTTATTTACTAGTGGAAAGAAGGTGAGTTTAGTTAGTCGGTGCCTGACACTATTTTCATCGCATAAAATGCATGCCAAATATGGTATGGTGGAATTTTTATACACTAAGATGTGGAAGCGTAAAGTCTTTTGCAATGACTTCTTGTTCTACCTGAGGAGACCCAAAGTGAAAACTGTGGGTAAACTGGATGCACACAGTCTGAGAAAAACCTTCTAGCAAATTTATTGCAGCAAATCAAGTGCCAATCAATAACGATGTCAACCACATAACCTAATGGGATACAGCCATTAACCCTACTAACAGTCTTCTGAGTACTGCGAAGCATGGCATGGTCTTTTTTAAGCAATCCAGCAAAGAATAATGGTGAACAATGAAGAAGAATAGGTAGGATGAAACAGTTGACAAACTGTAAGAGGACGGGTTGACTCATATCCGAGTGCCTTAACTTCCTGATGTAAAATGCCAGAAGAAATATGCGTTTCAGAAATCGCTAAGCACTGGGAAGACCAGAATAGATCAGAAGAAAGAACTAGTCCAAAATACTTAACGTCAGATTCGATTTCTATATCGGTATGATCAATTTTACAACGATCATAGGAATT